AAATTCAGAACTATTATATTAAATAAGTAAAAATTTTATTGAACTGTAAAGGATTATCTTGTCGTAACAAATTATTAATAACACCCAAATAAATTATATCGATTGATAAGTCAGTGAAAAATTTAACAAATATATAATATTCTATTCATCATATCAAATAAGTAAAAATTTTATTAAATTATAAAATATTGCTATGCCGTAATCTAATATATTTCCGATGTCAATAAAAAAAAGTAGTAAATGAGCAAAATTATTTCGTATTCGTATCTAACAACGTAGAAAAATCACTATTCAAATCTAAAATATACTTTAGTCGTAAGATTGAAATGAAGATAACATAAGAGAGAACCTAGAACAAGATATTATTAACTTACCATTACAATTCTAAACATAGACACCCATTAATCATAAACCCTAATACCCACAACACAAAAATCCCACCTTTTATTTTCCCCCTAAACCCTAACCTTCAAAAGCTACAATATCTCCTTTCATATATCTACATGGTACAATTACAAAATTACCCCTCCCTCCCTCAAAATCAACTTATACAAATTAAAGTATAAGCTCCCATCCATCCTTTTGTCACATAACCGAGCAAGCATTTGGGTTTTCATCGCTAAATATCTCAAACGAATCCGACGGTTGAGGTGGGTGCGAATCAAAATCCGACGGTGGAGGTTCATTCCCGGGATGGGGCACGTAGGCGTAAGAGTACGGCGAGGCATAGTAGGATGCATTGTAACTTGCGCTGGGGTGCGCCGTATTATAGCTCACCGCATAGACCGGAGGTGGGGCGTACAAATGCGATGAGTTTGGGAATTGATACCCATGGTGACGTGGAGGGCTGTGATTGGCCGATGAAGGAAAATGGACATGGTGGGATGGTAATCCGGTGCCCGCCGGTGCATGATCACCAGAATGTTCGCCTTCTTCACCATTGTTCCCGTTATTCCCTTTTTGCCCCTTTTTTTTCTTCTTTTTACCTCCATTACCACCGGCATTCTTCTCTGCGCCACCGTCACTTTCTCCGTCACCTTTCTTGTCACAATTCGGTGACTGGTTACCGACTTGGAAGGTCACCGTCTGTTTCACATCCGCTGGTTTTAACTCCTTGACCTGCCCGCCGGCAACTTTAACGACGCCGTTTTCCCCGGCTTTAATGGGGAAATTACCACCGTCCGGTACATTCCGGTTAGGGCAGCCACTATCGATGTTTTTACCAGATGGGTCTTGAACTGTAACTTCAACTTTGACCGTCTCTTTCTCTTTATCATTATTATTATTACCATTATTACCGTCTCCGTTGCTTTCTGGATCATTTGGTTTCTGATCTTTGTCTTTGTTTTTTGCTTTGCCTTGCTTTTTCTCTTTATGGTCAGCTTTTTCAGGCCATAGTTCCGCATGCTTTCCTGCTTTCACCAGTTTCTTGATCAAAGTCTCGGCCTCTACGTTCCCTGTCACCGTGACTTTTTGCTGTCTCAAATCAATGGTTGTCTGATAAACGCCTGCATGTTACAGAGACGATCAAAAGAAGAAGAAGAAGAAGAAGAATATTCAAGCGGCGTTACAGATAAATAAATAATATA